GTATCGCTCAAAAACAAAAGGAAGGAAATAGTCTGCATACGAGGAGGGTCCTTGCCAACGGTTTGCTTTTCGCTTCGTTTTACAAACAACAAAAATCATTCAAAAATCATGCAACTCTACCTTTACATTTTCCATCTGTTCATCGCATGTTAGTGCATTTATTCTGCCTTGTATAAATAATGACCTTCATATATTGTTATTTTTTTGCAGGAGAATTATTATTTGTGCTTTACTTATTATAAACGGCAACAAAGGGAGCACCGTCTTTTGACATAAATGAGCAGAATAATGCCACTCATGTCACAAAGAAATCCGAAGTTGACGGGTATAATATTTGCCTGGTCAAGTTTCCATGAATAGAGTAGTTTTAAACCCGTAAAAATACCGACCATACCCTACCGGTAACTGGTCGAAATCGAGAGACTGAACCCTGTGCGACACAAACTGTGCATATTTATTTACCACTGGAATTTCAACTGGAAGAACTAACTAAAGCGTGACTTGGCAATTGGAAGAACCAACAAATACCACTGGCGGGTACTAATCGATGCGCACATAGCTATCAACCTGCATGGCGGCCTCACTTCACGCCATTGGAATTGGAAGGCACGACCTTATCTTCGACCTTGGGGTTGGAAGGAGAGCCGTCCAATAGCTTGGCCGTCCTCTCGTCTTCGACCTTGGCATCATCGACGTCTTGCTTGCTCAGGAAGCTTGGCTGGTTGGTGGAGGAGAGAAGCCTTGCCCACATCCTGTCGGTTATCGAGACCTTGTTCTGCTTCTCCGTGATCCTCTGGAGTCGGCGGGTGAAGCAAAAAAACTGGTTATGGACGGCACTGGAAAAGTTTTAAATGCAACATTGTATTTCTGAATGCGGCGCTTACGTAGAAGGGAATGTAGCAGTGTCTGCCGTTTACTTGGCCGACGGTGAAACCGGTGTATCCAGCCATGGCTCCATGGACCACGCTGTGAGCCAGTAGTGTGCAATAGACATTATCTGATGCGTTGCTAGGGATGGCACGTATCATGTATGTAGGATCTGCAAAAGGCATGGTTGTCTGAAATTAAGCACCGACTTACTGTCAGACCAAGAAAGTTAGAGAAACAACTGACCTATGTACTTCAGATTTATGGTTGTCTTGTTTTTCTTGAAATGCTCCTGAATTTGCAAAATAAAAAATAGAACAAAACGGTGTCAGCTAGCGCGGAAAGGAGACACAAGAAGCGAAATGTCGAACCACACAAAGTAGACAAATGGAGGATGCAAAGTGAATTTCCAAGAGTCTCACATTTATCTTCTGAGACAACCAAAGACCAACATCAAGAAGCAGTGCGTTGCCAGAAGCATCTTGCCCCATTTCCTTCATGTTTTCGGCAATAAGTTTCTGTCCTGCACCCTCCGCAACGACAATGACCATATGGCCATTCTCCTTCAGCCGCTTTTCTATATATTTAAAGAGTCCACCTTCACCTTCCAGATAGAAAGGTGACTCCGGAATCAAGCAACAATCCTGATACACAGAAAATGTCAAAATGTGTGTTAGCTCAGTTGACATAATCAAGCCCTCATCTTGAGTGGAAAGGTACAATTAAAAGTTTCCACTTGCTGGAGAAGTTAACATACCACATCTCTGCTTGCTAGGGTGGCATAATGTGCGATGAAACCTGCAACAATAAAAATAGTAGTGGATCAAAATTATGGTATAGGAAAAAGAGTAAATGGGCAAACTTACATTATTACTGTCAAAGTTGCTACAGCACATAGGTATGTTCGGTTTTAAAAGTTGAAGTGTTGCATCCACAAACAGGGGGAACAAGCCAAATGCTACCCAAAAGAATGTGGAACACCCACAACCAGATAAGGTTACATATGCCAGCTACTGCCATGTGTTTTACTTGCAACAGCACGGAAAGTAGCACAAGACATGCATATGAATTAACAACAAAACTGAACAAGTTTTGTTTAGATTTCTTAAGAGTGGTAGATAACACTTAGGTTGTTAACATCAATAAGTAATACTAGTAGAACTTCACAGGAAACTGTTAATAAAGACAATATATCTAAGAGTTCCAAAAGAAGCACTGGAATTTCTTTAAAGATGCTTATTTCAGAATATGTATTAAGAGGCAACTTTTTAAGCTAAATGTGTCAAAGGAGACAATTGGCTGATAGCATATCATATTGTGTCCAAGTATACAGTTGGCTACTATAAACTTACCACTGTATCGTCCCATGAGCTTTACAAGGCCTATTCCATTGTCAGCACTTCCAGCCTCTACATGAGCGGCATTTATGGCACGTTGAGCTTCCTCAACTGCGCTGTCGAAACCAAATGACTTATCAATTACCTGAAATAAGGGCAGCAATCCATTCAGGGATACAAAGGGAAGAATGCATTTTCACCATAATATCATTATAGCATGGAGCAGAGTATTACCGGGATGTCATTATCAATAGTCTTAGGAATGCCAGCAACAGCAACTTTGAGACCACGCTTTCTGACCTCCTGAGTTATGATTCATGTAAACAGTACACTTACAAACTTGTTTCAGCAAAAAAAATGTACGGTTGATTTAATATCAGCAGAAAAAAGTTACAATATACAGCTGATTTATATGCCATTTGATTCACTATAAGCTATAAAGGATATTATAACCGACAAAATGTTGAGAGTAAAAGCTCTAATTCAATCAGCTTAAAGAGAGCTTTCTTCTGGTTTATAGTTGAGCTTACTTCAAAAATCACTCCTGCGCCCCTTTGACTACCATCACCACCAATAACATACACCTGGAGAAAAAATGAGAGAGTGAAACCAACGCACAAGCTTACGATGTCTAGGTTTGAAATAACTTTTACTACTATAATGCATGGGAGGAACAAAGTGACCTTAAAACACAAAGAGGGAAAATAGTATAAATGGTGTTTCTTTACTTCACCTGATTTATACCACGGTACTGAATGCTATCAACAATCTTCATGGTGTCATGGCCTCCTCGTGATGAGCCAAGAATAGTTCCGCCCCTTTTGTGAATGTCATTTACACTCTTTGGAGTCAAGTCGATGGTATTGCGAGCGTAGAAACCTCTATACCCACCCTACACAAAAATAATAATAATATTAGAAGACAGAGAACCAATGTAATATCGATATCTCTGCTTCTTGTGAGGCCATTGTTATTGTTTTTCTTATGATTCCTAATCCCACACGTCAAAAACGTACTGTAATCCGGTTTATAAGTGAAAATAATCTGCTACAGATGTACAGCATAATCAACATGACAAATTTGGTAGATTTTTTTTCCGGCACTAGGTCTAATTATTGAATCCTCAAACTGGATAGATATCCATTATCCATACTTGGCTTTTGCATGATGCATCTTCCTGGATATCAGGTTGATTTGATTGGACAGTTGTAACAGAAATAATGAATGTGTATACCAGTTATTCCAGGATACAGAAAGAAGC